ATTGGATATCCTTGCGAGGATTGGGTGTGCGTGTGTGGGTCAAGATATTCTCGATGTGTTTATTCATACGATGTTATACATCATACCTAAGATACATTGTGGGCTATTGTTTATTGTGCAAATGGTTGGTTATGGTTTATTGTGGAAAGGAGTTTATGGTAGAATTGGTTTATTGTGAAATTGGTTATTGTGGAAATGATAACTTGTTGGAATTGTTATTTTTGGGAATTGGTTTTAATTTTTCATTTAATTATTGCTATTGTGTAAACTTGAGATCCATTGAAATATCTTTATTTTCCTTCAAAAGTTATACATGATATTTGTAAAATGAGATCGACCGTTTTATATAATTTTGAAACCTTGTTCGAGTTTGGGAGGATTTTCCTACAGAGCTTAGTGCTCACCCCCTACAAACAACATTCTTTTCAGATTTTGGTTTAGAGGAGGAGTTTAGAGTTGATGAGCAGGTAGCTTGGGAAGCTCAACTTGATGGGCATGTGGACCCAAAGGGGAATGTCTAGAATTGTTCTTTTTATGTCCTAGACTAGTAGGTTTATTTTGAGATAATGTTCTTGTTAATATTTTTCTTATTCCGCTACAAGATAATAGTTAATTTTTGGGATGTAATTGTCGTAGTTGGGCATATTCTTTTGGATACAATGGTCATGGCTTGACATATTCTTTTAGATGAAGTTGTAAATATTATGGATAATGAAATATAATTTTCTTTAATTATGAACTTTATTAATTGCTCTCATGATGTGAATAATTTTAGATAGTAATGTCGTCCAAGGGGAATTTTGGGACGTTACATTGAGTTTAACAGAGGTCATGTGACCATTAATAAAAGTCGGAGGAGGCAAAGATGGAGTAAGTGACCTGATATCTTTCTTGGGTTCCATAATAGTGCAGCAAATAGCAAACAAGAAGTGTTATAATGCTGAACCAGAGGAAAAAAGTCTGCTGGAAGACTGAACCGGGCTGGAAAAGCTGGCTGGATTGCTAAACCGGGTTGGAAAAATAAGTCAAAAATAAATTAGATCAAACTTAGCCATAGTGAGGTTTAAGAGCACCAAGCAACATATACATGGAAGTAAAAATGACACGTATACATATTTGATATAATGATTTTTTTAATCCAAATTTGGTATAATGGTAATATCATGTGTTTTAGCTTTATGAGATAAGATGAACCAATGCATTTTTTTAGGGTCAAGTATTATTATTAGGGAGGCAAATAATGATATTAAAAGTTGCGATCGTAAGGCCTAATAACAAAGATAATAGTCATTATTATATGAATAAAAATGTTATACAATTTAAATAGAACTCAAAAATTACAATCTAAATACATATAATCCCCTAGATGAGTGGATCTACTGAAAAATTGATAGGACCCACTCATTCAAGAGATGATATGCATTTAGGTTACAAGTTTTTTATGTTTCATTTAAATTATATAGAAAACTGCTAATTTCAATCATCTCAAACTAATCAAAATATTTGAAATACTCATATTGTACTTTAGGCTACGAAACCAAAAAAACTCAATCTAGTAAACAAAAATACAATTAATGAAGTTCTTGAAGCTTGTCTCCACTTGTATCTTAACAGTCAAAAGTGCACTATTTTTTGGATTTCAATGATAATTATTTAATCTCCCAACATTAAAAAATATTTTATTTGATACATAATTAGATTATTAAGGTTTCTGTTTTGTAACTAGAAGATTTTTTGACATTGTAGAATTAATCACCAAAAGGGATGTAAATTCATGTTACTTTGTTTGTACTAATTAAAAAAAAATAGAGAAAAGGGACTAGAGGACCACAATAGTCGAGCTTATTTTGATTATATAATGAGATCATTTTGAAAGAAATCAAAGTTTATAATACAAATAAATTTCTGTGACATATAATGAAAATCAAAGTTATACTAATACAGATAAATTCATGTTATATATAATAGAAATCAATGTTTTATTAACATAGATAAATTGACTTGAAATAAATTGAAAATCTTTGACTTATTAAAATAAATAAATTCAAAACAAAGAATTATGAAAATTGAAGTTTATAACACAGATAACTTTATCTTATGTATAATGAAAATTAAAATAAATAAATTTACCCTAAAATATCATTGAAAACAAAATTTATAATACATATAAATTCATGCTAAATATAATAAAAATCAAAGGTTTATTAATGCAGATAAGATTTATTAAAACAAATAAATTCAAAAAGAATCAAAATTTTATTCATGCTACATATAAGAAAAATCAAAAGTTTATTAATACAGATAAATTGACCTAAAATAGTTTTGAAAATCCAAAAATTTGTAATAAATAAATTGAAAACAAAAGAATCATCGAAATCAAAGTTTTATTAAAACTAATAAATTCACCTACAATAGCATCAACAACAAAGTTTATAATATATAAATTCACATTATATATAATAAAAATTAAAGTTTTATTAAAACTGATAAATTCAAAACAAAATAATAATGAAAAAAAATTATAATACAAATAAATTCATCACTTCAAAAGTTTTTTGTTGTCAATGTTGAATAGATGATAGTCAAAATATTTGATAACTTCCTTGTATAAAAAATATTTTGAATTGATTCAGAATTATAGTCTTTTGAGTAAAAAGACTCAAGTAGTAATGATCAAATATATGTGTGTGTGTGTGTGTGTGTGTGTGTGTATATATATATATATGAATCTCTAAAAAAAAAACACACACACACATATATATATACATACATATATATATATATATATATATATATGAATATGCAAATTTAGAAATCAATTGAAACACAAAAATGAATAAATTCAACTAACATTGACAAAAATATACATGTATGTTTGTAAATATAAAACTCTAATATATTTGAATATCTTGATCTAATTAGAAATTAGAAATATGAGTTTATGAATTTTTCAAAATCGAATAACTAAGCACAAGCAAGGGATAATCATGTTGAGATCTGAAATCAAAATTTTGAAAGATGAAGAACACATGTATAATTGTGCATGAAACATTGAATAAATGCACTTGAAACACTAAGGGATAATACAATAGTAAAAAAAAGAAATAGGTATATTTTGGACTATGAGACTTAAAAGTATATCATTCGAGGGGTCTGGCTCGTCTGCGGTTGGGAGGTTACCGCATATTATGCGGTTAAGTGGAACGGCGGCGTTTCACTAGTTTTTGCAATTTTTTTTTTATTTGACCTTACCAAAATGATGTCATTTTGGTCCAGCTAAAAACCAGATCTGAAATCCTTCTTCTTCATTAGACTTCAACAGCAAAGCCTTGTGAGGTGCAGCAGATCTGGGCGACTTCAGGCAACTCTAACAACCTCAGGCAGCTTTGACTTCAGACAGCTCCAACTATAGGCAATGTATGTTCCTTCGTTCTTTCTGTGTTAAGAATTGTCATTTAGATGGGTCAAATTCAAATTCAAATTGTTCCTTCGATCGCTCTCTCAGTTCATATTTCCCGTTAAATTAGCTCCTCTGTCTTCTTTTTTTTTTCGACAGAACCTTTTATTGGTGTTGGTTTAATTTCATGAGCATTTGATGTTGAAATTGTCTCCCCCTTTCCCCTTCAAGCAAATCTCTCAGACACACCTCCCCACCCTCCACCTATTTGAAAAAATGCCAAAAAGAATTTGGTGATGATAATTGCTGATGATAGGCACCTAAAGAAACAAAACAATTATCATCAGCAAGTGGACTTCAAACAAGGCTACCATTGGCTACTACCTTTACCACTAAGCACAACTGAACCTTGTGAATTCAATCAATCAAAGCAGCTACATTGTTAAAGAATCTTAGAAAAGATTTTCGAGTCAGCTGTTTAACTTTATGATATCCCCTATTTGCAGCACAAGGCACAAATATAGGAAGTTAAAATTAAGAAATTAATTGATGATCAATATCTTGGTTTGTTTGGTCTAAATGAGGTGAATTAAAGTGCAAGCTCTGTCACTGCTTTATTATGAAGCACCAGATGTAATTTAGCTTGAAATGCCCTTCTGAACATTCCCTTAAAGTTGACAACATTGAGAACATATTCCTATTTAATTTTTGCTCTCCCTATTTGATTTTTCCTTCAAGTGATGCCAGCATATTCCTTGATGCTTTTAGTAAGTATTCTATGATCTTAAAACAATTGGGATACTTGAGTTAATATGCAAGTACCTCTTATCCAAAATGGTAGAACCTAATTCATGTAATCGATTCCATATATTTTGGACAAAGCTATGTTTGTTGCTCTCTTTTTTGAATGCTTCTGTTGTGCTGAATATCATTATACTGAATATATTGTTTGTAATGAATTATCAGCAACTGGAGATGCAGTACTGTCAAGTTGCAAATCAGGAGCAGCTGGTCTGTTCTGTTTCAGTAATTGTCTGCTATTCTGGTAGATTGTTGTTGAGAGTTGAGCTATGAGCAAAGGAGTAGGAGCTAAGCTATGGGGTACAAAGCACAATAAAGAAAAGCTCACTCAGTAGCTGGAGGAATAGCAGGTCCAGGTTTTGGGTTCTGTCAGCTGGAGGAGCTGAGCAATGGTGTGTTAGGCCATGGGCTATTTTGTTGGCTGGGCATCTAGACTGTGCTTCATAGATTTCTGGTTTTAATCCTTTTGAAGGATTAAAGCCAACTCTTTGTAATTAGAATTTTTGAATTCATTGCTTCTTGTAATTCATTGTTTCATGGAATAAAATTTCTTTTTCTAAAAAAAAAATAATATATATATATATATTATTTGTGCTGAATGAATTAAAGGGCTGCTACAATTTCTGAAGTTCCAAATTAACCATACATATCAAAATTCCAAAAAAAAATTTCAATATTAATTACAATAATAATCAAACTCTGGCAATAAACAATAGCATTTTCTCACCTAGACAAATTACAAATTTCCTAAGGCAACTAATTTGGAAAATGGAATCCACACAAAAGCCTGCTAAGCTCCTCATCATTCCTCACTGCAAGCTGAATGTGCCTTGGCACTATGCGATTCTTGTGCATTCCCAGTCAACTCTAATACCTGTATTCAATAATCACCATCATCAAATCACAAGCCCAAAAACCCAAACTTAAAACCCCTCATTTCTATGCATCCAGTTCCATATATCTCCATAGGTGACAAAAATATAATCCAGTCCCATATGCATACAACATCAAAATAATAAAATGAAACAAATCACCAAATATTACCTTAACATTTGAGTGCAAGAATGTAACACATAAAGCATTTAGATGCAAACATAGCTCGATAGTGATAAATGAAATGTATCTCAATTTGTTTGGCACCCAAACTCCCCTAATAATTGATAAATACAAAATACAAATCATATTCAGACCAAATCAAACAAATGTACCAATATTACAAAAACAATTAACACCATTACAATTCATAATTATGAACCTTCAGATTGAAAAACAAGCTTAAAATATCATCTAAAAAACTTAAAATGTGATGAAATTGGAAAACAATACAATAAAAACATAAATTAAATCCATCACCATTCAGTAATATGAAACTTAAGACAGAAAAATCTTAAAAGCTGAAAAGTTTATCTAAAAAATGAAATTGAAGCATGGAGAACTTCAAACGTCTCCAAGAAAATGAACCCATCTCGAAAAACAACAAATTAGCAAGAAATTACAGTCAACCATAACAATACCCAATACTGATTGACGAGCGCACACACATGTCAGAATGAAAACAAGAAAATGGGATGAAATGGGAAGTAGTTTATACTTCAGCAGAGAGGTATTCAAGGACGGCAGAGAGGTAGACTGGAGCTCCGGCACCGACACGCTTGGCATACTTGCCAGCCTTCAAGAACCTAGCAATCCTACCCACTGGGAACCTAGCAATCGCCGGAGCTGCTAGAAGAGGGGTGCATATCTTCAAGGCTGGAATTAGTTGGATCAAAACGACGTCATTTTGGTAAAAGTCAATAAAAAAAATTACAAAAAACAGTGAAACGACGTCGTTCCACTTAACCGCATGTCAAGCGGTTACCTTCTTACCGCAAAGGAGTCGGACCCATCATTCGAGTCATTGTCAACAGGAAAGGCGCATGCTTGATTTTATTGATAAAATTGTGCGCGTGAATGTACTATTCACTAATTTTTGCTAAATATTATTTATTTCTAAAATTACTCATGATGTTATTTAAAGAAATTAAAAATATAAAATACTTATTTTTTGGCTCACAAGACTAACTAATCATATTATTCATGATTAACTTTAATCTAAATTCATTAATCATTTTCGATTTAGTGTGTCTTGTGTCAATTGACACCACTCCACACTTGCAATTAGGCCTGCAGCCTGGCAGGTTAATGGAAAACCCAATCTGCCACCCAATGACTTGTCAGAAGCCCGTTCCGGTGCTCTTATCCATCTCAAGCTGATGGGTTTGCCCTAACGAACCAACTGGAGAAGCTAGATTGTCGGATAAGCCCATAGCTTGCTAACTGGCCCATCATTAGCCCCTGGGAATCTACATTACACTATGATTTGAAAATTTTTGAGTTATTTTATAGAAAATTCATAAATAAATTTTGAATCTTTAATTCTCCATAAAAAAAACCCAGTCCTTTATTTCAATCAATATAAGTGCATTTTTTTTTATCGCAATTATGAGTTTAATTTGTAATTTATGATTTTGTCATATCATAAAAAAATATCTCTCGACATTTTAGTGTACCATATGACGAATAAGCACTATAGTAGCACAATAATTAGCTAAAAATGCTACTCTTATTAGAAACATTTAGGGGTGTCCATGGCCCGGATTATCTACAGGTCCCATTATTTGGCCCTAAAAAAATAGACTCGATAGTTGACCCACCCGATCAAGAGCTCAATATCCTTAAGAAGAGGGTTTGGACTTTGCCTTCAAACGCATTACTCGTCTGAAACCCGACTTAATAGCCCGCTCAAAAAAACCAGTTAAAAACAGGTCCAAGAGCCTGTCCATCATTCCTTTGAAAAAAACTATATTTTTAGACCATTAAATTTAAAATTCTAAAATAAGTCTCTCAATGTCAAAATTTGACGTTTTAAAAAATTAGATACTATAAATAATTTATTATTTTCTTTTTCATGTATTAAGTGTGTAATTTTTAAAGGGTAAGGTAATGTAAATGATAGATAAGTGAGTAGATGTCTACCTAGTTGAGATGTATTCATTCTATTGGATTTAGTTTATCCCCTAATCAAAAATAAAATTATTCATTATTTTATTTTTATTCATTTTGACTCTACTTTTGATTCAAAATATAATTTACACAAATATTAAGTTAAATAAAATATTCATTATTTTAAACGAAATTGTATATAAAAAAATCAGTGAGCAGACCCGCCCAATAGGTTCGCGGGTTGGGCTGCGGGTAGCCTATCCTTACACAAAGTTTGGCCCGTCTAATAACTCACTTAGATATGAGCTTGGATCTCTACTACCAAGGTTCAGCTAGAAAAAAAATTCGCCGGCCTAGCCCGACCTCGCTCATGGACACCCCTAGAAACATTGTTGTTTGGGTTAAGATGACACCTAATTTCATAATATATATTATCTTTTCAAACATTTAGTTGTTAATGAAAATTATACCCCTTTTCATTAAAAAATCATAAAAATTAAATTTATTTCAATAATCAAGTAAACAAAAGGCCGCTAAAATTAACGGATGTTAAATTTTGTCGTCGATTCACCCAATTATAAGAGCATCTCCAATAATACTCTCTATTTTGTACAGAATATTTTTTGAAAGAACATCTTTAATAAAATTTTCAAATAGAGAGTGAAATATTTTACACAACTCCAATAGACTCTTTATTCTTAAAGAAAAATAATTTTACAGTCAATAATATTTCATGAATAATATATATGTATCATCTTTTCAATTATTAAAAATAGAATAGAGGATGAGTTAGAGTATCTCCAATAGACTTTCTATTCCCACTCAATTCTCTATTATAAAGAGTTAACTCTTAAAATTTATTCTCCAAATGGACTCTCTATTTAGACTCTCTAAAATAAAAAATTCAATTTAACTCTCTATCTTTGAAGAGTTAAACTCATTCTCTACTCTATTTTTGTAAAACGAAAAATGATATATGTCTTTTTATCCAAGATATTTAGGATAAACGTATTTATTTAAAATAATGAAGAAAAAATAGGAGAGAAGTTAAATTTATTGCCAAAAAGGACAAAACTAAAATGATAAAATTATAAGAATGGAGAGTCATATTAGAGTGATGTATAAAAATTCACTCTCTATTGTAAATTTCTACTAAAGATGCTATTTATTTTAAGAAAAATAATTGCTAAAATAGAGAGCATTGTTTCGAGTTTAATTTTTGATAGTTGACGCTCTAAAAATGCTCTACAAATGTAGAGGGCCAAATATGGCTCTCTATTTAATTAGGTGATTTTTGGTAATCGACTCTTTAAAATAAAGAGTTGAGTGAGAATAGAGAGGCTAATAGAGCAACTCCAACATTGCTAAGTAAAATGGCTAGTCAAAATTTATTTAAATATTATATTATCTACTCTAGATAGTCACTTTTTAAAATTCACTCAAACTTCACTTTTTATTTTAGCTAATTACTTTAACTAACTTTCAATAATATAATTTAAAAATACCCTATAGCCCAATAATATATATTTGCATTAATATTTTATAGGATCTAAAATTAAATATTTTATTATATAAGGGGGTTTTCTATATTTGGGGGGACGGGTTTCAGAATTTGGGTTTTAGAGAATGGGGTTTTCAAAATGGGTTTGGGGGAAGGAAGGGGGAGGTGAGTTTCGAAATAGGGGGGGGATTGCAGCTTGGGGGTGGGAGATGAAGAAAACTACCTAGACAAACCCTTAGAAAAGATGATGAAGATAGAGGCGAGATCATTACCAGTAGCCAGTAACAACAAGGAGCAACAAGAGGAGGGGGAGATGAATACCTAGTTCACAGTTGAAAAACTTCTGTACACAGCAGCAAGGAGCAACAGGAAGGAGTAGCAGCAAGTGACGAGTAATTTCGCCTCTCCAAGTCTGGCGAGCAAATTTAACTTCCTAGATTTTGACAAGGTGAATGACTAGTGGGTGAAACTGAATTTTTGAGTGTTGCTCGTCAAAATATCTAAAAGGGAGAAATAAACAACATCATTGGAGTTACTCTTAGAAATGTTCTAATCCTAGCTATTAATTATTAAATGTTAAAAATTTGAAATTCATTGCCATTACTCAGTAATAAAAATAAAATAACATACTGCTGACTAGGCATTAAGATCCACCGTCTTATATTGGGAAAATGTTGTGTTTATAAAAAAAAAACACATTAAGTAAATATGACAAACTAGTAAATGGATCCCATCAAAAAAAGGCTAGGCCTCAATTATTAATGTTGTCTGCAATGTACCCGACTGCATTACCTTTAAATAATGCCTTGAGATCAGCATGTCTCTAAATTAATGCACTTAAAGATTGCTACTTGGAGTTTCAATGAACTACCTTTACATTAAATTTGGTTTTTTTAGTAGGAAAAAAAATTTGATGTACTCAAATCTTGTAATTAATGTGTGTACTTAATCTGTCCACTCCGGGCATAAGGCGAGTCTCACTAGTTGTATAATTATTATTTTTTTCTCATTCTATTATGTATATCGACGGGCCGGTGTAGACTAAATCCAAGTCGGAGATATAGACAGACCTAGATTAAAATTTAGATCAAGTCCAGCTCAAAAATACAGATGAAGCCCACCGAAAGCTCAACAAAGGCTCAATCACAGTAGGACCAAAGCCACATTTTTTATAGACTCAATCCATCAACAGCACACGTGGAAGTCTTCATCCATGGGAACACAGTCATCAAAAATACATCACTAATCTCACAAGATCTTCGCCCATTACGAGGTAGGCTTTAAGGAATTACCAAACTATCACCTCGCTCATTACGATGATAGAGCGAGCTTCACGAAAATCACTATGCTCCCTATTATAAGGATGATGCCTCTATCCGAGCTCCTTGGAATCAACTTTAATTGTCTATATAAATTATAAGTCGTACCTACACATGGGGGGCATCAGACACATCTCAACACACTACGCTTTTTAAGTAATAAGATTTTTTGCCCACCATAGTCCTTCTCAGTGAAGTAGGTCATCCAGACTGAATTCACCCAATTTTGTGTTTTTGCATGTTTTGAGCCCTTCTTACTTCATTCATTGATTTATTTTGCATAATCATTTTTGTACATCACATATATATTAAACTAGGGGTGTGCTTGAAGGAACGGTGAAAACGTAAGTGAGGAGTGATGAATTTTGAGAGAGGAAATTCAATGTGAATGGTTTTGAGAGAAATATTGATGGCCTTTGAATGAGTCTATTTAAGACTATCAGATTAGTTTATTGAAATTTATTTTGTTTTATATTATAAATGTATATCATTTGATACTAAAAAAAAAATTTAACAAAAACAACCGATACTTATGTATATGTGTGTGTGCGTGTGCGCGCGTGTGTGTGGATCAATCTTATTCCAATATATGATTGATGATACTTATGTATATGTGGGTCTCATCTATATAATAAAAGACACAGTCATGTTTATACAAAATACAATAATGATTTAAATCGTTTAAATTTGATTACTTATATTACGATTTAAATTGATTTTTATCATTTTAAGTATAAGAACTCAACTTATTTATATTTAACTACTTAACCACAATAAAAAAAAACTTGTTTTGCACATGAACACCCTAATACCAATATATACTAGATGGTATATCATTATGAAAAATTTGAAAAAATATATTAAAACAATCTAAATTAAATATGCAGTTGACATATTAGAAAATTTGCAAACATCGTCGATCTCTATGAATATATTAGGGATAATTTGTGCTTGAATGCATAGTAAGTAAGAAGTGATGAATCTAAAAAAAAAAATTCAATGTGAATAATTTTAAAATATTAATAGGCGTTGAATGAGTTTATTTAAAATTGTCATATAAATTTATTTAAATTTTTTCCTTTAATATTATAAATATTAAATAGATATGTCCCTGTGTGGAAAAGTCAATCCCTCTGCCATGTGCAAGATAAAGGGATTTACGAGGATACAGTTTCAATGTTTTTTTAAATTTCCTAGTCACTATCCATCTAAATAAACTAAGTCTATATTTGTTGGTACCATCTTTATCTTCATTTATTCATTTCACGTGAATTCCACACATCACCTAAATTGTCTCTTCTTCATCACATAAATGTCCTTATAATTCAAAAAAATTATCATAACCGTAAATAAGTTGAATTAAAATTGATCATACTTATTCAAATTTAACTTATAAATTAAATAAATTAAACTTTGCTCTACAAACTCAACTTTCTATATAATTTTTAAATACTAGTAGTTAGTTTCTCAAGTCTTCTGGGGACATATATATTTCCCAAGAAAATAGGATCATCTCATCTTGCTTCATTAATTTTAGTAACAATGAAAAAGATAGAAAAAGAAATGCACACTTAAGTAGTATAATATGAAGTTGAGAGAGAGAGAGAGAGAGAGAGAGAGAGAGAGAGAGAGAGAGGGGGGAAGTGTCTAAATGGCCATAAATGAAAAAGTAAAGGAGACGTAACTGTCTTTTGGAGTTCTTCTGTAGTTTTTGTTTTTACCTACATTTGTTTTTGGAAACTTTTCCCAGTGTCAAACTTTTTTTCTCAGTCTCTCCTTCCAATATAGTAGCTCGAAGACACACACACTATTTACTTTATATGAATATTTTATAGTTTATATATATACTCGCATATATATTACTGTCTCTTTACTCTCTGTGTCTCTCAACTCAGCTCAGAAAACCAGAACTCTCTCTATATGTAAGGAAAAAAACAGTTAGCTTCATAAAAGCTTCTGATCTAGGTCTGACCAGAGAGATTGGCGCCGACCAAGAAATGGAAAACTCCTGAAAGAAGGTAACAACTTCGAAACAAACCCTAATTGTCTCTACTCTAGTAGTCTGGAGACACTTGTTAAATCTGTAAAAGTACATAGGCAGAGGAATATATTTGTATCTAACCATGTATTACACACACACACACACATGTATATCTTTGCTTCAGTCAGATCGATTACCGTTAGTTTCAATTTATCGGGGATTATGGTGGCTGTTTGTGGCTTTTCTCTCTCATGGGTCTTTTCTGCTCCGTTCCTGGGGGTTTGCACTCGTCTTGTGGTTTTTGGAATTAAGGTTTTTGATTTTGGAAAGTGCTTTTGGGTCACTATAGTGATGCAGTGCACTTGTATGGTGAAGATATGAGGAAGAGTAAAATATGGTTCTTTTTCTGTTTTGCTGCTATATGGACTTCTTGTGGTAATTTTTCATTAGATTGTAGTACTGGTTGTTATAGCAAACTGGGTTCTTTTGTTGCTGCTCCCTAATTGTTTTGTAACCTAGTCTTTTTAAGAAATCTTATAGGTGAAAAGTACGTTTAGACAAGCATACTTATACTTGAACCTGTGTGTTTTTCGGAGTACTTTTGTTAATGCATAGTTTGCTGGGTGTTTGCTTTCGATTTCTTCTTTGTCCTTTTGTTTCATGTACTTTTTGTTGGTTGAATTTGTAATTTCTATTTAGTAGATATTGGTGGGATCTTCAATCTGATGTTGTTCTACTAGGTACATGATTAATTTTGGATTTGCGTGTGGTAACTAGGAATAAAAAGGGTTGTTCCTTTGTCTTTTAATATCACAAAATATCTCCTTGTCCGTACTTTTGAAGGTATTGAGCGTAATGGACTCTGTTAAGATGTTGATTAGTTGTACAGTTTTACTCTTTAGTCATTTTATTGCATGTCAAATCTTAATCTGGTCACTATATTATTTATTGGTTTGAAAATTTTCAATTTATATGTCGATTGCTGATCCAGGATTACTGCTGTAACGTGCAGGTCAAGAAGGAAGCTTTGCTGCAGTATCTAATTGTTTGGATTTCTGAATCACAGATGATTTATTCTGTTGTCTTATCCTCAGATTTGATGTTCTTGGAGCTAAAATTTTACTTGATTTAGTTCTACAGCCATGATCAAGACTTGATTGAAAAAATTCAAAGGATACCAAACTAATTCGAAATTGGCATCAAGTTAGTTTGATTGTGAGCATAACTAGTGTTCACATCATGCTATGGCAACAGTTGTCATTTGAGCTGCCATTTAATGTGATTTGGGCAAGTACGTCAGACTAGCCTCCCATAGTTGCTTTGTCTGGACAGCTGTTGGATGCACATGTTTTGTTTCTGTGCAACAAAAATGAGGAGGCATTTGGTTCTGGTTTTATCGTGGCTACATCCAGATATGTTTAACGATAGAGGTCGCTAACATCATGCAGGATCACCAGTAAATGTTGGTATTGAAAGTTAAAGCACACAGTAAATATTGGTATTGGAAATTAAAGTACACATGCTTTACAGCCATGTAATTATCGATCTTGATTGCCTCTTGAAGGTTCTTGAGTTGACTTGATGTGTTAAGTAACCATCTGGGACTAGTGCTGAATCCGTTTTTATTCGAAGAATCACACATTAACATGGACACTGACAGTCCAAGTACTAACCATCAACCAAACTTCCATAAGAGGCTTTGTCATGCTGTTGCACCTGTGCTTTTGGTTGCAATTGGGTATGTTGATCCAGGAAAGTGGACTGCAGCTGTTGAGGGAGGAGCCCGTTTTGGGTTTGATTTGATCACACTAATGCTCACTTTTAATTTTGCTGCTATTTTATGTCATTACCTGTGCTCTCGTATTGCTGTAGTCACTGGAAGAGGTCTTGCACAGGTATTTTTCTTCTTTTCTATTAGCGTTTCCTATTTCATTCAGTTCTTGAGTCTATTATTTGGCCTTAAGTGATTTTTGAATTTCTGGTATTTTCATCTTTTCAACACATAACATTGTTAGATTTTTAAGAAACTTTAAAATTGAGACGAATGTCAGTTTGGCTTAGTAACTTTGCTTGCCCTGTGTGCTCACTTTATAAATGATATGGTTTTCCAGCTTCAACTCAGCTAGATGTGAACAGTATAGTAGGAAACCCCCTCGTCTGACAAAACCCATGCTTTAGTTAAACTTGGAGACCATATTAGCAAAGGTTACTATAGAAAACATGTAGTGTCAAAATAATCATTTCTCAATGTTAGGTTCTTCTTTTCCGTATAGTTTGAATTACACTGAGTTGAGTTGCATGGAGTTGGACCCTTTGCCATTCTGTTACACACTACTCATGCATGTTTGTGTGTGTGTCTTAAAAAGTTACAAAGCTATCATGTGGTCTTTAGAGGACAAGCATCTGGCATTCATGGTTAGATCTGGAACATATTTTGTATTTGTTCTAGTAGTATCTAGCTTTGTGATAGAGTGACTCATCTCTCTTCATCTCTTCCTCTCCTTCCTTTGCCATGAAATTATTTTGATCTCTTAGTTTTATTTTATGTCAATGTTAATCATTTTATATTTTTTTTTTCATCTATGACAGATTTGCGGTGAGGAGTATGACAAGGTGACATGCATATTTTTAGGAGTTCAAGCTGAGCTTTCCATGATTACTTTGGATCTTACTATGGTAGTTTCTCACTATTTCATTCTAATTGATTCTGGATTGGGCTGCTTTAACCCATAATAATCGTCCTTTTCTTGTCCCTAATGTGTAATTGAATTGCTTGTAGATTCTGGGGACAGCTCATGGGTTTAATCTTCTATTGGGGATGGATCTGTTTACTTGTACATTACTGACTGCGATTGATGCTGTTCTATTTCCAGTTTTTGCAACCCTCCAGGTAAGCCTTATTACTTGCATTGCTGATCCAGACACTTCCATTATCAATCTGATGATTACGGTATTGTTTGTGATTTTATGTAACATTCATTTTCAGGAGAGTGCTAAATTAAAGTTCCTATGCATATGCATGGCAAGCTGTATACTACTTTCTTATGCTTTTGGAGTGATCATCAGTCTACCAGAAATTCCAACCGCCATGGATGGGACGCTAACTAAGTTAAGTGGAGAAAGTGTGTTTGCATTGATGAGCCTTCTTGGAGCGAGTATTATGCCTCACACCTTTTACCTTCATTCTTCTATTGTAGAGGTCCCTCTCTCTCTCTCTCTGTGCAGTCGAATTTGTATTGCTGCTACTTTTTCTTGTGGAAGTTACGGAAATTATACTATTCTTTCCTATTCTTGCAGCAAAATCAGGGGCCAACAAATGCTTCCAAGGCATCCTTATGTAATGACCATTTTTTGGCCATCCTATGCATCTTCAGTGGCATTTTCCTGGTTAATTATTTGCTGATAAACTCTGCAGCAAATGTATTTTATAGCACCGGCCTTGTTTTGCTTACTTTTCAGGATTCATTTTCCCTAATGGATCAGGTTGGGGTTTATGTGCAATTTACCCTGCTAGGATTCTTCAATACAAGTTCCATGAAATTCGTTGTTCATTTTGCAATTTATCCATAGTAACAGATTTTATTTTCTGAAAAAATAAATGACAGGTAGTGAGGAGTTCGATTGCACCTTTTGCCTTGATAATAGTTATGGTTTTTTCCAATCAACTTACCGCATTGACCTGGAATGTTGGTAGACAGGCAGTTCTGCATGATTTGTTTAGAATGGACATTCCCGGTTGGCTTCATCATGCAACAATCAGAATAATTGCTCTTGTTGCTGCCCTTTATAGCGTGTGGAAGTCAGGAGCTGAGGGTATATATCAAATGCTTATCTTTACACAGGTTGTAGTTGCTCTAGTGCTTCCATCTTCAGTGATTCCCCTTTTCCGAGTTGCCTCATCACAATCAGTAATGGGTGTGCACAAAGTTTCTCAGTTTGGGGAGTTCCTAGCACTTACTACATTTATTGGAATGCTGGGCCTAAATATTATATTTGTGACAGAGATGATATTTGGAAATAGTGATTGGGTGAGTAATTTGAGGTGGAGCATGGGGAATAGTACACCCATCTCTTATGTTGTTCTTCTCGTCATTGCCTTTGTCTCTCTTGGTTTGATGCTTTGGCTTGCAGCCACCCCATTAAAGTCTGCAAGCTCCAAAGTAGATGCCCAGGCATGGAGCTGGGAAATGCAAAATTTTGTTCCCGAATCATCTGCAGAGAGGATCAAACATGATTTAAGTGAAACCAGATATCATATAGGCGAATCCACCCAATGGAAAGAACCCCCATTAGTATTTGAGAAATACTTGGGGAGTCATCAAGATTTATCCACTTCAAGTCCTGATCTTAATTTACCCGAGAGACTGTTTGATGCTGATAGTGTGTCTCATTTGACTACTATTGAGGAAAAGTATTCTGGTAGGGACTATTCCAGTCCTTCTGTATGCCTTCAGGAGGAATCAGAATCCAAGGTGGAAAAGGTCCTAGTGCCGACTATTAGTAATAAGGTTTCAGAAGGTGAAGTTCTGGATGTTAGTATCACCAATACTGAATCAGTAGGCTTGGTGGAGAAGATTCTGAGAATTGAGGGGGATTTGCAAACTGAGAACCACGAGGTGGGAGATACTTGGAAGCCGGAAGAATCATCAAAAGAGGTGTCTGGGGGTAGCCCGTCTTTGACATCTGAGGGTCCTGGATCATTTAGGAGTCTTAGTGGAAAAAGTGATGATGTCGGGAGCGGCTCTGGAAGTCTTTCAAGATTAGCGGGATTGGGCCGCACTGCAAGACGCCAATTGACTACAATTCTAGATGAGTTTTGGGGACAGCTGTTTGATTTCTATGGGCAGGAAACAAAAGAAGCAAGGGCTAAGAAATTGGTTGCGTCACTGGGGCTATATGTGAAGGTAGATTTAAAATCTGCCTCTGGATCGTTGAAGGTGGACAATAATGGGAAGGAATGTAGTGGGTGTTTTCCATATGTGGGTGAAAGAGTATCTGATTCGGTGATCAATTCAAGTTTATATGAATCTCAACAGTCATCTTATGGTGCGCAAAGGGGTTTATCTTCAATTTCCAACCCCATGCAATTGTTAAATGCTCAAAATTCTGCTATTGACCCTGGTGAGAGGCGCTATTCTACTCTGCGCGTTCCACCGTCATCCAATGCCTATGATGAGCAGCCAGCCACTATACATGGCTATCAGTTTGCATCCTATCTCAGTCGACTTGGTAAAGAAAGAAGCTTTGATTACTTGAATGGCCAAATGGAGTCACTAACCCCAAAATCCAGACCTTTGCTCACATCGAATTGCGTAGATCCACTTGCTCATGCCTTGAGGCGAAAACCACAAAATGGGGCGAGCCTCATAAAGCCACCTGGCTTTCCTGACCTTCCTGTAGCTAGAAGTAGTTTGTTACAGTCTGAAAGGCCATTTTATGGTCTTTCCTCTCCTGAACCGACTGAGAATGCAAGTAACACAGTTAGTGCGAAGAAATACTATAGCTTGCCGGACATCTCAGGACTTTATATCCCTCACCGAGAGCCATCATTGTCTGACAGAAGTTCACAACAGGATGGGCCCATGGCATACTGGTCATCTGTTAGTCGTGCTATAAATGAACGATCTTTGTATTCAAACACATCATCGAAGGTTGGGGCTGCTTTGTCATTTGGTGAATTTTCTCCTTCAAAAGTCTGCAGAGATGTTTTTTCACCACAGTTCAGCTCAAACTCGGACACTGGGTCCCTGTGGTCTAGACAGCCATTTGAACAGTTTGGTGTGGCTGATAAAACTCGTTCTGTGGAGGGTGCAAGAGTTGGAGAGAGTCAGAGTTCAATAACCGAAGAAACTGCATTTGATATAGATTTGGAAGCAAAGCTTCTTCAGTCTTTCAGACACTGTATTTTGAAGCTCTTGAAGCTGGAAGGATCTGATTGGTTGTTCAGACAGAATGATGGGGCTGATGAGGATCTTATTGATCGTGTGGCTGCAAGGGAAAGATTCATTTATGAATTTGAAACTAGGGAAATGAACCACCTGGTTCACATGGGTGATGCTCAATTTTCATCTGGTAGGAAACCTGGTTCTGCACTGAGAAATGATGAGTCAGATAATACAAAATTTCTGGTAACCTCAGTGCCTCGTTGTGGGGAAGGCTGTATTTGGAGATTGGATCTGATAATAAGCTTTGGGGTCTGGTGCATTCACCGGGTTCTTGAGCTTTCCCTAATGGAAAGCCGTCCTGAGCTTTGGGGGAAATACACTTGCGTGCTCAATCGTCTTCAAGTAAGAAGTTTTGGTTTCATGCTCTATTTTTTTGTTGTTTCTATTAATTTACATCAAGAGATCGTGCTATGCAAAGTAAAATATCTTCTCCTAAGACAAGAAGTAAGAGTAGAGTGGACACAAACCTGTGTTTAGCATATTTGCATTCAAAACCCATAGTCTTCACACTTCGAACCGAAGCACTTTTCTATTGAACCAAGAAATGGTCTCTCATACTATGGGAAGTCTGCTGTGTTGTATTTGTTAAATTGAACTGTTTTGAAGATCTGTTTGAGCTGCTATTGTTAATTGGAATTGTTGCGGCAAACTATTACATAAAATCTTCTATTGCTTTTCCTTTGACTCATGCTGTCTGCTGACTGCTGGATTCTAGATTATAGGGCTATGACGAAGGTAATGTATTGCCACCCCATCTTAACTGCCTCAATGGCGCATAACAATAAAAGACGCCCTCAATGTCTGGCAAACCAACTCAAAAGGCAATTTTGTCCAGATAACCGAATTCACAGCATACCCTCTCAAGAGCACTTGTGTAGGTATTGAAATTGGGGTGACCTAACGCAGTGCCATTTGCTCACTACTATTTACTTCACGTACTATATAATTGATGTATAAATGTCCCCGCCACTCAAACACAACACAAGGGAAAAGGGAATGGCGTAGTGCTTTCCACAGCCTTACCAAGTGCCTTTCTTCTCTCTAGTATGCTTTTTTGATTTGTCATTATTGCTGTTTTTTTTTTCTTAGTTAAATATTTGTTTGTCTAACATCAATAGCTATGTACAAATGTTTTTACTGCAGGGGATTATCGATGTGGCATTTTTGAAGCCTCGTTCTCCAATGGTCCCCTGTTTCTGCCTTCAAATTCCAGTTGCATACCAACAAAGGTCAAGCCCACCTATTTCAAATGGGAGCTTACCCCCGCCTGCAAGACAGGGGCGGGGAAAATGCACAACCGCAGCAATGCTCTTAGACATAGTCAAAGATGTTGAAATTGCAATCTCTTGCCGGAAGGGTCGAGCAGGCACTGCAGCTGGTGACGTGGCTTTCCCCAAAGGGAAAGAGAATTTGTCATCCGTCCTCAAGCGCTACAAGCGTCGTTTATCCAGCAAATCAGTTGGCACTCGTGATGGTGGACCTGGGTTACGTAAGGTTCCTGCTTCAGCTTATGGATCATAACCTTCGTTTATGAGTCACAGCAACTGGGGGGATAGTTTTGGAGGAGTTTGATTTTGGAAACCAACTCATTCTCTATGTCAGAGGTACCCAGCAGCAGTGAACTCTCTCTCTCTCTCTCTCTCTCTCTCTCTCTCTTGTATTAGATTACGGTTGGATGTTCATTTTCATGTACGTCACCATGTATACATGGGATGAAAGGACCGGATATGTAATTGCTGCAGAATTGGAAAAAAATGGGTGGCACAAAAGGTGGAAAAGTTTTTATTGCAAACACAGTTAACAGTCTCGTTTTTGTTATATTGTTAGAGAGAAAACTACCATACCCAAAAAATAAAAAATCGATATTGTACTGTTAATTACAAATTGTGTTTTTTTTTAAAAACAAATTTTAAGGGTTATTCACCATTTTTGGAGATCATTTACGAATTTTGAGGGCCATTTAACAACCTTGGGGGGACTGTTTGGATCAATTCTTTCTAAAAAAAGTTAGAATTTAACCATAAAATTGTAGGAATTTACAAAATAACATTTCATAATTTTGATGAATGACGAACTAGTATCTAAGAGTTAAAAAAACTCTCTTTCATACGAATGTAGTAGAGTTGAGGTTTTTTTCTCTAATGGGTTTTCTTTTAAGTGGGTGCATCTCACTGGTGGTTCTCTCTCCAAAGAGTTTTGTTTATACTAGAGGATGTATAAATTAGTTGTTACTACTCACTTGATTAGTTTCGATGTCCATCAATATTTCTTTAACTCCGTGCTGTCAAAGAAGGTTAAAAACACTTCAAGTAGGATTAACTATTTTGACTAGTCGTTTACAATTTAATGGGTCCTAGGCACCTATGCTAACTACAAAAGATTTAATCCAAACATCCAATCGTATTAATGTAATATATATGTATCCATGCACCATTACCAAAAAAAAAAAATAATACACAATTTCATAAAAAATGTAACTATGATATATGACATGAATAATGCAATATTTAACCAGTAGATTTATGTTTTATATACTTCGGATTTGACCACTGACTGTGACTTAATTATCATCGAGGACTTTAACCACATTTATTTCAATATCTCTCACTTAGTTAAAGTTCCAAATTTTCATTCATAACTTAAACCCATAGCAATTATATGTCATTTAAATTCTTCAGTTCCAATAAATTTTGTCAATGGGTTTGCAACCATATCTTTTATACAGATATAATCATTAGTAACATGCTCTTTTTTGTATTATATCACTTATATAGTGATATTGTAACTCAATATGCATACCTCTTGACCCAATTTTTTCATTTTTAATGATTTTTATCGCTGCCTCGTTATCACAAAAAATACAAATAGACATATTATTTACACATGTAAGCTTTAAATCAGTTAAAAACCATTTCAACCACACGGCATCAGAAACAATCATACTACAAGCAAAATATTCAACTTTTATAGTATTTTTAATTATGCAACCTTAGTTTTTGCTAGACCATAAAATAACACCACCATCTAAAATAAATATATTACACGTGGTGAAATTTTTTATCATTAACACCACTAGCAAAATCAACATCACAATAATCATTAACATTTATATCAACATCTTGATATGGTAATGAAAAATCTAATGTGCCTTTTATGTATTTAAGTATACGTTTCACAACTAACTAATGAGGTATATCCGGATTGCTTTGATATCAACTAATCAAACCAATAACATTTATTTATTTTATTTTTCTTTTTTAGCTTTAGGAGCTATATTTTTAGACAATTTTGCTCCTTTATAAATGGGTGTTTCAATAGGCTTACAAGAATCCATTTCAAATTTATTTAAAATATTTTTCAAATAATTTTTTTTTTTTGCTTTTTATATGTAGAAATTTTAATTCCAAGTACATAATATGATTCACCATATCTTTCATTTCAAACTTGACGTTTAACCAATCTTTTAGTTCTAAAATTTTATTTATATCATTTTCGGTAAGTAGAATATCATCCACATACAAGGAAAAAAAATAATATAATAGCTCCCACTATTTCAAGTACATATACAATGATCATAGTTATTGGAACAAAATCATATGATATAATTGCATTATGAAAAGTATGATACTATTGTTGTGAGGATTATTTTAAGCTATATAAGGACTATTCAATTTATACACTTTATTTTCTTTACATTCAATTTCATATCCTTACAGTTGATACATAGAAATTTATTATTTAAGTTCGTCATTAAGAAAAGTAGTCTTAACGTCCATTTAATGTAACTCTAGGTCTAAGTATGCAACCAAAAACATTAATATTCTTATTGAAGTAAACTTAGCTACGGGAGAATATGTTTCATCATAATATATTCCTTCTTTTTGTGTGTATCTCTTAGCCATTAGTCTACTTTATATTTATCTATGGATCCATTTGATTTAAATTTCTTTTCAAGAATCCATTTTTACCCAATTGTTTTTTATCTTTTGGTAATTTAACCAACTCTCAAACTTTGTTTTTCTCTACAGATAATATTTTTCCTTTAATTGCTTCTCTCCATTTTAAATGATCAATTGAATTCATACCATTATTAAAATCAATAGGATAATTTGGAATTTCTTCACTATTAAATGCATAATAATCTTTTAAGTAGCTAGGTGGATGTCTTTCCTTTTGTATTCCAGTTAAAGTATCATTGGGTGGAGAATCTTTCATTATTTGCTCTTGTGGTTGTATATATTTATTTTTATTTGTAATTTCAAATAGTTCAACAATTCTCTCAATTTTATCTAAGTTATCTTAAAAAAAATGCATCTCTACTCAATGAATCCTATTGAACCATCATTATGATGAATTGTAAATCTACAATCAAAAGAATTTTCATAATATCCAATAAAAATACATTTTATTGATTTAAGATCTAATTTTCCTTATTATGTCATAGAATTTCAACATGAGCCGAACTACCCTAAAATTTTAAGTGAAAAAGACTTGGTTATGTACCTGTCTAAATTTCATATGGTGTCATTCTTCTTGTTCTAGATGTTACTCTATTAAGAATATAAATGTCGGTAGAATAAGCCTCACCAAAAAATGTAGGACTTAAGTGTACATGACTAAGCATAAATCTAATCATGTCAAAAAGTGTTATATTTTTCCTTTTGGCTAAACCGTTTTGTTAAGGTGTATAATAATTTTTTAATTAATGTATTATTCATTTTCTTTACAAAAAGATTCAAAAATTTCAGCCATGTATGCACCACCTCGATCCGTCCTTAATATTTTAATTTTTCTATCTAGTTGGTTTTCTGTTTCCACCTTAAATTCAATAAATTTTTGTAAGGCATATGATCTTTTCTTTTGTAAATACATATAATTATATCTTGAATAGTCATCAGTAAAAGTAATAAAATATTCCATGCCACAATGGGTTTTGACATTTAGAGAACCACAAATATCCAAATGTATTAATTCTAGCAAATCTTTAACTCTTTCTAACTTTCTAAAAGACTTTTTAGTCATTTTCCCACTTATACAAGATTCACAATATTAGCCATTTTTTTTATTTTATTATAATTAATATGACCTAATCTCAGATGCCATAAAATTGAATTACTTAATATCACAAGAGACATCAATATAAGTAGAAGAAGAACCATTCATTTTATTATAGTCACTAGTAACATTCAAACGATAAATACTATCAACTTTAGTACCCTATGAAAAAACACGACCATATTTGCCAATAGAAATCTTAGAAGAACTAAAACGGATCATCTAAACGTGGCACAAAAGAGATTGTGCTGTATATTGGGCACATAAAACACATCAATCAAGAGGAGGTTGTTTTGCCAAGACAACAAACTTCTCATAGTGCCAACTCTGAGCACATCACAATAAGTATTATTTTCCATGTACAACTTGTGGTCGCTAGTTTTCACCTCCCTCATTTTAATACAATTATCTCTAGTCTTAGCCATATGCCAAGACGACACGGAATCAAACCACTAATTAAGAGAGTCACAATCTGCAAGATGTGACTTAGAAACCACACAAACAATGTCTCTTGATCCTTTAAAATTTTGATCATTATTCTTTTGAGTGCAATTTTTTTTTTTTTTTGTAATGATCAGGCTACCCATAGTTATAACAAGTATCTATTTGTTTTTCCTTAAAATTATTATGTCTCTTGAACTTGTTGTATTTCTTATTATTTCTTTTAAAGTGGTTGTCATTTCTTAGCTTAAGAAAAGACGAAGTAGTTGACACATTATTAGATGAGGCACCCGTGACAAATTGGGAAGATAGGGCACTAGAAACTAAGTTTGACACATTACTAATTTTCATTTTAGCTCTTGTATCGGCTTCAATGCCTAACAACATAGGTAATTTTGACATTGATAGATCTTAGCTTGACATATTCGATGAAATCACAATGGGCTTCCATGAATTAGAAAGGTTTTTGTAAAACAGTGAAAACTTGCATTTTGTTAGGAATTGGGTTTCTTAGAGATGTTAACTCTTTAGCTATTACTATAAGTTTATTGATATATTCAATAACAGACTCATCCTCTTTCATAAAAGTGCCATTATATTTTTCAATCAAGAGTTGAATATATGTATGAAAGACAACACCATAGGCTTGTGTTATAGAATCAAACATAAGTTGTATTTCTAAATTAGGTTCCATGAAACTGAGCAAAATTAACCTACCCAATTTTTATTTCTCTAAGAATCTTTCATAAGTGTTTCTAGCAGCTCTCTGGTCCTAAGGGGTGGTTCTTTTGGATATGGTGTGTCAATAACACATTCAACTTTATCTTGAAATAATATGTGACAGATTATACGTTTCCAAGTTGAATAATTTGTACCATTAAGTCCCATGGTTTTCCTAAGTTTTACACTAGTAGCCATTGACCCCATATTGACAAATTATAAAAAAATAAATTACTAGGTAAAATTGGTTAAAACTTGATGATGCACAAAATAGGTTTATACATAATCAACAATCAAGTGTATGATTCAAGATAATTAATGAAGCAATCAATAAAATAATTAATGAAAGAGACAAATATTGGATCAACACAAGTAACATACAGATGTATAGTGGTTCGGTTAGGGTGACCTACTCCACTTTGAAGA